ATATACACTAAAGTCCCAATATTTTCAACGATTTGATAAGAAAAACCTAAAGTTTATTTTTTTGACAGTAAAGTCCTAATTGACGATTTGACAAGAAAGTCTTAAACTTTATTTTTTTGACAAAAAAGTCCTAATTACCAGGTAACCGGGAAAAAAGGGTAAAAGTGTCAAAAATTGCCGGTAATTTGGACTTTACTGTAAAAAAAAATAAAGTTTAGGACTTTCTTGTCAAATCGATGAAAATATTAGGACTTTAGTGTATATATCCCTATATATTATTGGTGATAAACTATAAACTCTGGTATAATTGAAAATTACTAATTTTAATGATTGACATTCTAAAAAAGCAATTTTCAATGAATAATTAATGATATCAAGTATAGTATATATCATTTTACTAAATCAAATACTAATATATCTATTATCATGATATAAATTGAATCTTTTTTAAACCAATGATAATAAAGTAACATACATTTATGGATAATATAATTGGATATAATATAAAATATGATGGTAAGAAATTGATTTTTATAGATAACATTTCATCATGTTACATTGGGGTAGAAGTAAGCATGCACCATGTCTCTTGCTTTGGGACTTGTAATTTCAGGTTTTTTTTATCTTCATCATGCCTAGTTGAGTATAAATAAACATGCACATACAAAATAAATGTATGTGTCTTCTATGTCATATTTTCCTCCATATTATTTTTTAAAATCTTGCAAACTAGTCTATCTATGTCAATTATATATATATATATATATATATATATATATATATATATATATATATATATATTAGGGGTGGTATTGTACAATCATTTTTTTCCTAAACCGTGTACCATACCACTTATAGTTGGTACAAAATTTTTGATACCACTACCATGCCAAATATAGTTAGTAACAACTTATTTGGCTACCAATAACTTTGGTTGGTACATGTTGGTAATGCTATATACCAACAAGTATAGGGATTTTATGAATAAAGAATTTTGTGTTCTTGAACATTGTAAATCATGAATGGGGCTTTTGTGAAAGAAAGTTTTATAAATGGATGAGACTGAAAACTCGATCCAGAAAGATGTTATTAAGTTATACGACCTTAAATTACAACGTAGGAGTGGAAAATAGGTCATGTTCAACACGATTTTAAAAGTTAAATTTCCTAATAGGATAGATGATAATATCAAAGCTCTTAAATCATAAACACCAAACACACTTGAACTATAAATATATGATCTTGTGTGTGTGTGTGTGTATATATATATATATTAAAATTGAATTGGTTGGTATGGTACTACCATGGTATTTAAAAATGTATACCATTACCATACCATATTTAGGTAATTGGTATGGTACTACCAATCAAACGCATTGACTACTAAATATACAGGTTACCAATATTATTGATTTGGTTAGTAACATTTTGGTTGGTTTTCCGTGCTACATATTTGTCAGCCCTAAATTATATACATCTCTATATCAACCACTAGGTGTCATAAGTAGTTTTTTTTCTAGTGGTTAATGAGTTGAAAGTTAAAAAGTTTAGTATTAAAACAAATTAATATTATGGTTAATTTATAGGAAGTTAAAGAGTTAAGAGTTTTTAAATGAATATGATTCAAAATAGATAATCTTGAATCACATTATTTTGAATAATTTTTGTATTAAGATTTATATATATACCATGAAAATCCTTATGTGTTGCACATGAATAAAATTTTATAGTTTAACAAATATAGTTTACTAAGATTATCTAAGCCGTTATCATTAACAAATAAATAACATTTTTTATATACCAAATAGAAATATTAATGTAAACAATTGTGATTATCTTGAACAATATGATAAAAAACTATTAAAAAATTAAGTTAAAAACTTATAATACTTTTAATGGTTGAGGTTTATGTATTTAATACAACATATGTATTTTTTTGATCCTATAACATATTATTAATATATATATATATATATATATATATATATATATATAGCTTAGATTATTTTTTTTTACTAACTATTGTGTGCCAAAATGCACAGATCTGGACCACCAGATGAATAGAATCAACAATCATGATCTGAAGGTCTATGATATTATAATAGGTAGCATGTATCATATAATCACACAAATTTCAGTAAAAGGGCATTTTAGTCAATTAACCTATTTTAAAAAAGGAAATTTTCGGATTTTAAGGGATCATTAATTCCCTAATTTTTAAAAAATTTGAATTTTTTAAATTAATTCAAATTTAAAAATCCGATTTTATTCTGTCAGAATGACAGAATGCCAACCATAAACTAGTAAATATATTTTCGATTTTATTCTTGCAGAATATATTTCCAATACAGGTATTTTTGATAATTAACCTGATTTAAGAATTCTAGATTATTATTCATATACATCCAAGTTGGGTCTATGATTTTATTCTTAATACACATCCGAAATAAAATACAAATTCATACATATTCTTACAGACTAATATCCTTATACATTTTAATATATGTGTACATATTCTAACAGAATATAATCAAAAATGAATAAAATTCTTAAAAAATAGCATTCTTGAATTCATTCTTGAATTCAGTGGTCCATATAATCCACTTGATCTTCGCATATATACTTGTTGTTGAACTCGATTCCAAATATTTCTATTGTATGATCAATATTGAATTCATTCTCCATGCAATTCTGAAAGAATAAGATACATTACTCGTTAGTATTACAAGTTAAACAAAAATACTTGTTGTTAACAAACATTCTCAGAAGACATTCTAACATAATGCATATATATAAATAAATTCTAACAGAATACATTACTCGTTAGTATTACCAGTTAAACAAAAATACTTGTTGTTAAAAAACATTATCAGAGGACATTCTAACAGAATGCATATATATAAATAAATTCTAACAGAATATATAACAGAATGCACTTAAATCATATTCTTTTTTTCTATATGTATAAACATTCTAAAGCATGTATAAATGTATTCTGTCAAAATTACTAGCAACACATGTTTTATGTAATATTTATATTCTCATAGAATGAACATGTGTTTGCATTTTAATATGAACCAATCCAAGTAACACATAATTGGAAATTAAAATTTAAGAAAAAAAAAAGATAATTCACGATAACTAATGGGATTCAAATGGAAAGAGATCATCAAGTGAAAGAAACATACATCATCCCAAATTGAAGCTAGATCCTCTGGAGTTTGAAGCTTTGCTCTCTCAACATTAAAGAGGGATTCCAATGGCTTGTGCTTCAATGGAGTGAAGCAGGAGGCAAAGCTTGAAAAGCTGTGGGTGGGAATTGAAACCCATTTGTGAAAGTCCCCTGGAATGGAATGCTTTATTCCAGACTCTCTTCCCACAGAATTGGTGAAGAATGACTGTTTTATGAAGAATGATGAATGATATTCAGCTGAAGATAATGCACTTCTTGTGAGTTTGGTTGCTACACGTAGCATTGTGATTCTCTGTTATGCAATGTAAAAGAAAAAGTTATAGATCTTTTAGAGCTATATAGATAAGATATCAAAAAACAAAGTGTAACTCTTTTCATAGTAATAACTATAGATCAATCACTATTTGACTATTTCCCAATTGAAAAGTTTTATGTTTGACATTGACAATCAAAATGCAGCTCTTACTGTTGTTACAGAGAGAGAAAAAGACATTTCGAAGTTGGATTTGAGTATACTTTAACCTAAAAGCAACAAATGTCTTACACAAGACTGATCAAACTTCTTACTAGCATTTCGTCGAACAGTTGGAATGCATGATATGTATGCAGCATCGGTTATTAGGAAGAAAAGAATTAAAACATCTCAGATTCACGCAATTAAAAAGACTAATTACAACCGTACAAATCTTTATTCAACAACATACTTTTGATAGATCCACCTAAGCAACTTGCGAGAAAATGTAAATTTGAAACAAACAGAGTGGTCGTTACCCCTTGAAAATGGTGATAATCAAATCATATACCTGTATTCTGTTGTTATACAAGAGAGCTAATCGCAGGAGCTGATAAACGGAGAAACAAGGAAACGGTGGCTGGAATGAGACGTCGGAGATTCTTAGCTTGGCGAGAGAGACTCAAGGCGTACAATGTTGTTACCCCTTGAAGTTGGAGGATTCAAGTTGGTTTAAGTGTGCACTCGATTTAAGTAGGCTGATCTCGGGGATGACCTAATTTGCCAACAGAGGGATTAAATTGAAATTAGGGATGGGAGGAGAAGAAATCGGTGATGATCGGCTGGTAGAGGAACAACATTGAAGTTGCTGATTGAGGTGAGGTTACAGGTTTTTGAGGCCGATCGTTTGAAGATAAAGAGGGGAGAAAACTAGGTTTTAGGAAGTTAATTAATTACCATAATTAAACATGCAAAGATTACTATAATACCCTTACATGATTTATTTAAAGATTTATTATTTCCTCAATTCTCATTGGTGCATACATGCACACAATAGTTGCTAGAAACATTTGAACCTAGTTATATATATATATATATATATATATATATATATATATATATATATATATATATATATATATATATATAGGGTTAGGTTAATGTGAGACCGCTTGATTTTGTGAGACGGGGAGACCAAATATTGACCACTTATCTTGAATAATGAAAGTCTGATATTAATTCAGATTAAACCATAAAATAGGCGGTGGCAATTTTGTAAATTAATGGAACTTTGGGATTAGATCAAGACACGGAGGGGCAGGAATGGAATTTTGCATTCTTTTTCGTTCAACACACAAAAACACCCTTTATTCTTCCTAAAAACCCTAGATACGAACACTAAAACCCATTTGATCCAAATCTCGATCATCGTTCTGCTTCCAAATCTCGATCATTGTTTCAGACTCCTTATTCTCATTATACCTGAAATTCATCTTCCGATTCTTACACGAAAACCACTCGACAATCAACTAGAACATTAAAAACCTTTTGATTTTGAATTTGATATCGAATCAAATGGCTCATTCTACAGATTCTGATTCTGATTTTGTATCAACAGCTGTTCCAAGTAAGTATAATACTATAAACCTCTTGTTCTTATTCAATAAACCTATCTGTTCTTATTATAGAAAGTTTTTTCACTTTGAATCGTTGTGTATCTTCAATAAATGTCTAATAATCGAGATATTTCACTAGCGATTTATATGTCGAAGTCAGGATGTAATGGAATATAGCATTATAAAACATACAATCTAAACCTAAATCTCAGTATGTGATTTATATAGAGTCTGTGTATCTAAATGTTAACTCTACATAGTGTTCTAATTATTCCCCATTTCATTTGATCTAAATATTCTTAATCAAAATCAGCAAAGATGTTATGTTATTCTAACTAATTGTTCATCATTTAATTAGATTTAGATTCATAAATTGTCTAATACTATAGATTTTGGTAACATAAATCTTTTATTATGATTGTAGTATAGTGTGTAGCTAAAAAACCTTTTGATATTCTAGTGAATTTTATGTTGATTGATAAATAGAAATTTGTTGTTATGTATTTATAGAACTGTGACCAGATTATATATCATCAACTAATATGAATTCTAATGGAATTTTTTGTTATTGATGCAGCTAAAAAAGTGCAAACAAATGCAGCTGTAACAAAAACAGGGAAAGAATTTTATATAGATATAAGTATAAATTGTAATTACTTTTAGATTAAATATTATAATTGCTTTTAGAAACTTCTAAATGTTTTTAATAAATATTCTAAATGTTTTTATTTGATAATTTTCTTCATACAGATTCAGGGGGTCAATATAGGATTAAAAAATGTATGAACACACTTCTTTCAAATATTTCATAAAAAAAGCAAATGTTTGGATTTATTTTTTTAAGTTAGTTATTCTGAATATTCTAATTTTGTCTATCATATATTCTAATTGATTTTAATTGTTAAATTTCATGATAAAGATTTGCAAATTGTAAATCAAAAGAAAAAGAAGGCAGATGAAGGAATATCAAAGAAAAAAATTAAAAAAAAAACCGTTGTTACTTCTGAAAGCGACTATGATTCTTCTTCTGATTCATCCTCACAGCATAGAAAAAGAATTAAAAAAGGTATCAACAATCATTCTTTAAAACACTTCACAAAATAATTTTTTTGGATTTATTTTTTTCAGTTGATTATTATGAACATTCAAATTGATTAAAATAAATATTCTAATTTATTTCAATTTTTAAATTTCTTCATACAGCTAAAAATACAAAAAAGAAAAAAAGACTTGAAAAGAAAAAAAGACACTATGTTTCAGATTCTTCATCTTCACAGTCAGAGACATCAGAGTCAGAGACATCCACAACAGAGAGTGATGAATATGGTAAAATATGTTGTCTTTTATAATATATATGTTGATATCCAATAAAAGTATATTATATTTTTCTAATAGAATAATTATTGATGCAGATAAAGTAAATAAAACGAAAAAAAGAAAAGTCAAAAAACATTTCAAGCGCCATAACAAATTAATCCATAATGATGTGAAACACAAAAAGAAAAAGCATGTTTCCGATTCTTCAACAGAATCAGAGACAGAATCAGATACACAGTCAACGGGTAAAATAATCTAAACTTTTTTTCCTGAAATATGATTTTATACTTTATAATTCCAATATTATGGAACAATAGAAATATTAGAGTGTTTCGAACAATAAAAATACTATATCTACATTTTACTTAGATGATATAGTATTTTTGGATTAAATTTCATAGAATATTCTGATATAATAAGTGTATATGTATAATATTTTGTTGGAATATTACTTTGTAATTAGATGATATAGGATTTTTGTGGTGTTACTAACATTTATGACTGATGTAATGAATTAGATGATGAATCTGATGAATAAATCTATGTAAAAAAGAGAACCGGTGATAGAAAATATGTTAAAGGAGTGACAAAGATTAAAGAAGCAAAAAGGAAGAGGAAAAGTGGGGACAATCGTGCAGCAATAAAGAAGCAAAAAACCGTCAAAGAGCAAAAGACTGTGAAAGATATATTGAAGGAGTTGCCTTCAATAAACACTAGATCGACACCTGGATTGATGACAGATGCTGTAAGTTCTTTGACATCAGAACAAAAAGATTGGGTGAAACGGATGAGATTTAAAGCATTTTTGAAGATCAACATTAAGAGTATTCCCTTAAAACTTTGCCATTTTGTGCTTGAGCATTATGATGAAGGCACAAACAGTATTCTGATTAAAGGAAAAAGACTAAAGATCATAAAGGAAAAAATTCATAAAGTGTTTGGTTTACCCAAAACTGGAAAAAGCTTATTTGACTTGGACATGGTTAGCGAAGATCATCAAGTGTTTGATGGATGGATGAAGGAACTTGAAGGTGGAAAGGCAAATGCAACAAACTACAAGAAGATTATTCAAAAATCCGAACAAGTGGATATGAATTTCAAGCTGGGTTTCATAGCTTTATTTGTTAATACGTTTGCAGAATCCATTCCTATGGGGACAAACAACTTAGTTCCAGTTAGAGCACTTTTTGAAGTAGATGACATTTCTAAAATCGATTGGTGTGCGTATTTGTTGTACTGTGTGAAAAATTCAAAAGGGAGATGGCGTCCAGACAACCCCAAGTGTTATTACAGAGGCCCGATGTTGTTGTTGTTGGTATGTTTTTTCATATACTTTTTTTTTTCTTAAAAATGGATATCTAATATGATGTTGAAATAATGCATCTAATTTACTGTGATAAAATTGAATGCAAGCTCCAAAAAATAGAATGTAAAACACCATTAGTTACAATGTGGACAACAGATAAGTTGAAGGAAAGACAATCTTTTGAGATTGAAGCCGGTGGATTTGGGGTTGGAAATCTAATTGAACAAAGTTCAAATTTAGAACGTGACAAGAATGAGAATCAGGAGAATGAGAATCAGGACACACGTATTGAGGTATATTCTAAGTAGAATATATTATTAAATTATGTTTTAGAATATATTTTAATTATGTCCTAACTTAATATAAGAAAAATATTCTAATGTCTTTTTTTTCCCAGGAGTATGAAGAAAAGTATGAAAAAAATTTCAACAATGTCTCAACTCAAAAGGATAATATGGAAGATATTATTTTTCATTGTCTATTGAAATTCCTCTGAAGACAATAGAACGAAGGAGATGATAAGAAAGTTTAGAGACATATTTTCAACTACACTTTTTTCAAGTCGAGAGAAATCAGAAACTATTAAGGAGAGAACTGAAGTCAAAGCAGATAGAGATGAAGAGCTTAATAAAACAAAAATTTCTGATTTTGATGATGATAAAGATGAAGGAATGAATACAAAGTTGGTTGCATTTTTAGCTGTTAAACCATTACAACAGAAGTTTCCAGATAATGAAGAAAGAAAAGAAGAAGATCAAGATATGAATGTTGACGACCCAATAAATTTGGGTTTAGAGAATAATATTGGCAAGGAAACGATTAGACATCCGCACAATCCAGAAAGACAAATAGAATTTGAAGGAATAAATGTTGATGACAAAATAAATTTGGCTTTAGAGGTGAATAATATAGACGAGACTATTGGAAAGAAGAATTTAGAAGAGAATGTTGAGAGCAAAAATCTTGTTGAGGGTGGTGAAATGATTGGTGGGGAGAAGATTAGGGAGGGGAATATTGTAGAGAAGGTGGTTGGAGACAATATAGGTGAGAGCTCAATTGTTACACCAAAACACAATCCAAAAGGTATATCTATTGATTTTCCCCTTGGTCTGATTCATTCATAGAAAAATTAGATGAGGATTTGCTTATAATATTTTCAAACAGAAATCCAGATTCAAATACAATTCCAAATCCAGTTGTCAAATCTCCTGTTCCAAAAAAACTAACATTTGAAAATTCAGAATTTCCTTCCTTTGATCTTCAAATAACCCAACTAATGAACGATGCAGAAATGGTGATAATTCTGAGGGTAATGATGAAGATGGAGAGTTAGAAGGGAATGAAGAGCATATTTTAGATGAGAAAGGGAAAAAGGGTCAGAATGTGAATGAAAGAGGGAAAAGGAAGGTGACTAATCCAGATATTTTTAGATCACCTTTTGTGAATAGGGTAATTGACTTAAGTGAAAAAGTCAGTACTGGGCAAGAGATAATGGCGCAAATCATGTTTAGATGCGTTGGAGACAAAGATCCAATGTAAGTAAATCCACAATGTTTAGTAAATTTTTTTAATTATATATGCATATTCTTGAAGGAATACTTTTATAAATTTGAGTATTGTGTAATATTCTTATTGGAATATTGTAACACTATTCAAAAGAAAATATTATTCTAATTAATTTACATTAGTTTTAGTTAAATAATATATTTTAACTACAATGCAATATTTTTGTTTGAAGGGAAATGTTGTTTGAAACCGAGTCTGGAGACATAATGGATAGGGTGCATTTTGAGGGTATGCGTCCAAATCATAAGATACATCCTTTCGTTATTGATTGTTGGGCTGCTGTTCTTAATTTTGAAGAAGAAAACCTGAGAAACAAAAAATCACCACCACGTGTCTTCTTCAACACTCAAATTATGGTACTTAATTTTTAAATTTATTTTCTATATTCTAATTATAATTTGTAACAATGTATTCTAATATTTCTATTGTTCTATATGTACAGACAGAAAAATTATTGGATTCTTCAATACCTTTTGTCGAAAGATTCCGACTTTTTGATGAGGCTGTAAACAATTACTTATATGACATCAAAAGAAAAGTGGATTTCAATTCTGTTAATCTGGTATGTATTTTTTATTACAAGATAACATATTCATTATTAAAATTTATAAAATTCATCTGTATTTATGTTTGAACTACAGGTGTTTTTTCCAATACACAACCGTGGTCATTTTTATTGTCTTCTTTTCAACCTTACAAATCCAGAACATATAATCATTGACAGCATAAGATACACCAAAAAAGTGGAAGATATCTATGGAGAGATTCCTAAACTTGTGGTAAATGTTTCTTGCATAAATCTAAAATTTTTATTTTAATCATAATTGTTTACTTTAAAAAAACCACTCTGTATAAGTAAATAAATTCTGATTAGAATATAAAATATAATATTTATATTCTTATAAGATTTATTTACTTAATATAGTTATAATTTTATAAAAATAATGATATTTTATTAATATACATTGCAACAAATGTACTTTTCAAAGTTTTTGGACAACAATCGGCGGGATAAGGTTTCTTTGTTTAAATCTGTGAAGCCAAAGAAAATGAAAATGACATGGCAAACAAAAGCTAAGACAAATGATGATGGTATATTTTTGATGAGGCACATGGAAAAATACATGGGTGAGAAAGAAGAAAAGTGGGATGTGGAACTGGGAGAAGAAAGTGTTAGGACATCTAAGAAGATTGCAAAGTTGCGTACATTTTATGTTGCTAAGCTAGCAAACCATCAAATTAACAAGCAGAGAAAATTGAATGTTGCAGAAGCATTGGAATTTTCAAAACTTGATAAGAAAACTAGGTGTATGTTGGTGAAAGAAGGGAGTGAAGCAAGAGACAATCTGGAAATGAAGAAAGTTTGAAAATTTCTTATATTGGCTTATTACATACAGACAATTTATTTTCTATTTTGTTTTTTTTTAAATGCTTATGTTTGAGGATATGCTTAAACCATTGATATTTTGGTAAATGATATGCTTAAACCAGTTAGTTGGTATCTTGATAAAATATTTACTGCTTAATAGTAAATGATATATAGCGTTTAAAATTTTTGTTTGATGATGCCTAATTATTTGATTAAAAAATTGTTTGGTAAAATGATAAATGATTAAAATCCATATATGTTTATTATTCTTATACAATAATTTTGACAAATAAAAACACATATTGTTAATATTGTATTAAGCTTATTCTAATTTGTTTTATGTAAATTATTCTGATTATTCTGGTTTCATTAAAATACTTAATAATAAAACGTTTTATTATCTAACTATAATATAATATGTAATTTTGTTTTAGAATATTTTAATAAAAAGAATAAATGAAATTAAATTTAGTATCCTGTTGCAATAATAAAAAATTAGGATAATAAAATTTTAGTATATTTTAGGACATCTTACTTTAGAAAAAAAAGTACATTGTCTCTATTAGTAAAAGTAAAATTTTAGAATAAATGAAAATATTTGTTTTAGAATATTTGTAATTAAGTAATTTTATTTTACAATTAAAATAATATTTGAACCAAAGTGCAAGTTTTTAAATTAAAAGGGACTAAAAATATTAGGACTTATTTTCCAGGGACGAAAAAGGGACAAATGTAATAACTTTGAGATTACGACTTATTCACGAGGGAAGAACATTAAAATAAAAAAACTCAATTTCTTCATCTGTATTCTCAAAACCCTCTTCCAAACTTCTTATCATTTTCGGTTTTAAACACTCCATCAAAACCCTAACTTCTTGTGCTCTTGAACTCATCATCTTCGATTTCTCCTTGTATCGATTTCATTTTTCGATGTTGTGAATCCGATTTTCACTTGAAAACATCGATAAAAACCCTTGTCATATCGATTTTAAACGTTTTGATTCATATTCTGGTCTCTAATCCCTCGATAAAACCCTAAACTTACTTAATTTCATTCTTATCGAGTATTTCTTATCAACGAAGATGGCTACATCAACACGTGCTTCAGAATCTACACCATCAGATCATCTAAATGACATTATTACCAAAAATTCTCAAGAAATTCCAGGTATTTCAATAGTTCTATTAATTATCATTTTATATCCTTGTTTCCGTTTGAAAACGACGATGTAGCTTCGAGAATTGACCTTCTATTGTTGCTCCAGTCTCCATATCTACATACTAATAATTAGGGCATTGGGCTCTTGTATCTTAGTGAAATACTCAGCACAGACAATGAGATAAAGCCTTCACATCTGAGAATATGAGCGTTTTTGTGTTGTTTGAGTATGTATTTATAACAAACATGTGCCCCTACTTATATTAAATTTAATACATTCTTATGTGAAGATTCTTTGGATTGATGATAAATCAAGCTTTAGCCTTTCATTTATTTGCAAGGGCATTCGGTTTTGATTCCAACCAAACACATTTATTTATTACTTTTGAGATTTTGTGTGTATGTGAAAAGGGAAATAGACACAAGTGCTTTCAAGGCAGATATGAAAAGAAACCTCCTCATGGTATTGGTCCTGGTGGTCTTGGTCTGAAGAAGAATAATAAAGTTTTTCCATTAAACACTTGTATATTATGTCCTCTAATAATTCAGAACTTGATCTGAATTAGTATAGAACTCATCACATAAACAAAAACAAAATTGTGTAATTGACAATCAAGATATTATATTGGTTTTCTGCATTTTCTGAGAAAATAGAGAGTTATCATTCCACTTTTGACATCTTACTATGTGATTCAACTTCTACATAAAACTTTAATCATTGTATAAACTTTATGCATGGTTAAGTCAAGCATCACTCGGGTAAGTGGATGGAAAAATATTATGTACAGGGACATATTCATCAATTTGCTTCTGTTTTTTATGTGTATGTATGTAACTGTGTTTATAGAAAATTCAAGTAACTTTAATCGCATAAATAAACAGTGCATGGGCATATTGGTCAATTTGCTTTAAATTTATTATGTGTATCTTTATTATGATGAGTTAGAATATAATTTTGAAATAAATGTAAGTGTTTTTCTATAACAAACAACAATTAAAGTGTATTTAACATTAATTATTTTCATGCAGCTATTTATTATAACAATAATGACAAAATCAAAAATAAAAATGATGACACTCGGTAGAAGTAGTGAAGTTGAAACTTCAACAGGCAAACTGTTGGTTCAAAAAAGAAAATCATCAAAGTCGATTGATGAATTATCAGCTACAACATCAAAAGAAAAAGAAAAAAAGGTACATCATCAGTTATTCTATTCTAATAAAAAATTTATCTCATTTGTTTCTGTTATTCTATGTATTATAATGAAATATTCTATATTCTATAATTGTTTTTCTATATTCTATTAACTTTATTCTAATAGAATATTTTTAAATATTAATCTAATATGTTTCTGTTATTCTATGTACTATAATAAACTATTTATCTCATTTGTTTATGTTATTCTATGTATTATAATAAAATATTTTATATTCTATTAATGTTTTTCTATGTTCTATTAATCTTATTCTAATAGAATATTTTCAAATATTAATCTAATTTGTTTCCTTATTCTAATAGAATATTTTTAAATGTTAATCTAGATATTTGGATATGATAAATCAATTATTAATTCCTAATTTTATTATGAAAATGACAATAAACAGCAAGAAGGTTGGATATGGCTAAAACTCATGAAAAAACTTCAATAGCCGAACGACTAATTGAAAGAAGAAAATCATTGAAGCTTATTGATGAACCAGCCGATACAACAGCAAATGCCAAAGAAAAAAAGGCATATCATCAATTATTGTATTTGTACTATAATATCTTGTGTATTAATGTTATTCTAATAGCAAGAATGCCATATATAGGTAAAATTCATATTTGTTATTATTGATTATGCATTTACAATTACAGTTAGCAGAAACATTTTACATAGTTCGTTTTAATTGGAGATTTTTGTTGACTAATAACATGTTAGTTAAACCCTAATGGGTTTTTGCCTAACCCTAATCACTAACAGTTTGGACTTAATTATGCGATTAAGTACTTAAGTCATGATATTGACTTTTACTTCTGTTATTAATTATATTGACGTATCAACATTCACTGACTTCTGAAACATAGTAGACATATTCATATAGATGTTATTCTAATAGAATATTCTGAAGTGTTAATTTGTATTCTATTTTTATGATGTTATTATCTTTTTTCTAATATTATTTATTTTGAAAATCCATTGAACAATAGGGAAACAAAAGGTGCATTCTGAAGATGAAAAAAATAAAAAAGGAAGTTAGACAATACAAATGATAACATCGAGAAAAAGACACAAAAAACAACAAAAGATTTATTAAAAGATCTGCCTTCAATAAATACTAGAATGAATCCCGGAGCTATGATTGAAGTTATAAAAAGTTTAAGTATGTCTCAAAAAAATGTGTAAAGAAGATGGGTTTTGGATCACTTTTGGAGTTGAACATCAAGAGAATTCCGTTGAAGCTTGCACATTTTGTTGTTCAACATTATGATCATCAAAACAACAGTATTGTGCTTGATAAAAAAAATTAAGATCACAAAAGAAAAGATTCATAAAGTCTTTGGTCTACCAAATGGAGGAAGAAGCTTGTTTGATTTTCATTTTGTTGACAGTGAGAACGAAACGTATGTTACATGGAAAAGCCAGTTTACAAAAGAAACAATGAATGCCACTGGATTCAAAGAAGCCATTCTGAAATCCAAAAGAGATGATGATATCTTCAAGCTAAATTTTTTTTATTTGTTTGTGAATACGTTTGCTGAATCACATTCTTATGGGACGTGCAACATAGATCCTGTTAGAAGAGTAGTTGGAGTTGAAGACATCTCATGCATTGATTGGTGTGCGTACTTAAATTACTGTCTGAAGAATACAAGATCTCTATGGCATCAAGATAAAAAGAAATGCTATTATAATGGCCCAATGTTGTTATTGATGGTATGCTTTTTGTTTAATTATTGTAATTATTTTTTATTTATGAATATCTAATACAATTTACAAACTACTATCATGCAGCTACTTTACTGTGACGGTCTTGAATGTCAGCGTTTAATCTTAAAGTCAAAAATTCCAACATTAACAATGTGGTCAACAGAGGATTTGAATAACATGCAGTCTTTTGAAATTGAAGATGGTGGGTTTGGATGTGGAAAAGTTGTTATCACACAAATGACGAGAGATAGCGAGGGACCGTCCAATGTGAAAGACGATCTTTATGACACTGTTGAGGTAACTTTAACTAAAATATAAAATAAAATTTCTTTTTATATTACGTTAAAGTATGATGTTATAAAAAATTCTGGATATTCTAATATTACATGTTTATGGTTCATAGTAAATATTCTAAGATATTCTGAGATGATAAAATATTACATGCTTATAATTCTAGTATTTTATTATTTTTCAGGAATATAAAGAGAACTTTGATAAGATGTTCAATAAAGTTTCATCCAGAAAGGAGGACATGTATCGAATTGTTTCTGATTGTATATCAAAGTTCCCAGATGTCAATATAACAAATGAATTGAAAGAGAAGTTCATTAAGTTATTTTTAGATCCTATTTTTTCAAGTGCTGATAATCAAAACAATGAAAATGAAAAAAAGGATCACATGAAAGGGTTGAATCTCAAAATGGTGACATGGGGGGGGGGGGGGGAATGATATAAGTTCTTACAAATCACCATATATGGATAAAGCTGTGAATTTATTTGATAGAATCGATTTGCAGAATGTTCTTTTGATTCAGGTTCTAATAAGATGTGCACAGGATAAAAACAGAATGTAAGTCACTAACTCTTGCTATTTCAATTAAACATGTATTATTTTTTTGAATTGTTGTTTAACTATAATGCATGTGGATATTTATTCTAATGTTGATGACATATTTTTTGTTAATGTTTAAAATTAAGGGAGGTACTTTTTGAAACAAATACGGGAGAGATTATGCATAGACATGATTTTGAGAGCATGCGACCTTATCATGTTATACATCATAGTGTGATTGATTCTTGGGCTGCTGTTCTAAATTACGAGGAACAAAAGTCAAAAAGTAAACCATACCGCCTGTTCTTCAATACCAAAATTATGGTAAATTCTTTTACAATTGGAACTTTTATATTTTAGTTGTATATTATAACAAGATATTATAGTTTTTCTGTTTTTCTATGTTTACAGAGTTCTGATTTATTAGATGAATCTAAATCTTTTGACGAGCGTTTTTTAACTTTTGAGACCCGTGTTGATAGGTTTCTATCTAATTTCAAGGCAAATGTAGATTTCAATGATCTTAAACTCGTAAAAATATTTTATTAATTAAAATATTACTTATTAAAGGATAGGAATTATGTTAACTTTTTGATCAATTTGTTGGATTTGCAGGTGGTTTTCCCAATACTTAATGGTGATCAGATGTATGGTGTTGTTTTCAACCTAACATATCCACAAGTTCATATTATAGACAACATAGAAACAAAATCGTTAGAAGAAACTTATGGAATGACACCTACATCATTAGTAACTTTTCATTTACTTTTATTAAATGTATTAAAGTTACAATATAATAGATTGAATAATGTAATTTTGTTAATCTACATTGCAGAAATTGTACTTTATACGATATCTGGAGAAAACTACATTTATCGTCAATAAAATTAAAGGTTTGCGATCAACAACAATGAAGATGATGAAAATTGACTGCAACACAAAGAAGTTGACAACAGAGAGTGGAACACTTTTAATGAGACATATGGAAAAATATTGTGGAGAAAAGCAAGGAAAGTGGAATGTGGAAATGGAAAAAGGCAGTGATGTGCAAGATGTGCAATTTGTAAAATTATGTGCCTTATATTCTGTTAAGATTGCTACACATGAAATCAACAACCACAAGGAGAGAGTTATCAAAGAAGCAATCGAATTTGGAAAGTTTGATCATGCGACTAGAAAAAAGATGTTAGAGGAAGGTATCAATAGAATGGATGAATTGGAAATGGGTAGTAAATAGAATTTGATAGAAGTTTGGAATTTTATGAACGTGGTTATGGTGACTTAACAAAAATTCCTTTTGTAATATCTATCTTATTTTGAACAAATTAGACAAAAAAATGATGCCTAGTATTATGTAAGAAACTTGATATGGTTTATTAGGTGATTAATGCTTAATGTATAGTTGGTATTATGATCACTTCTTAATGACCATGGTAGAATATTCTAATAGAATAATGTATAGTGGCATCATTATTCTATTAGAATAATATTAGATGTTGCATATACCTATATAACATTCTTACATGTATAATCTTGTATTATAATAATTTGATAACAAAACATTATACTGCAATCATTCGTATATACTTCAAAAAATTAAAGATTGAAAATATTAGAAGAATCAATATGTTTTCAAATGTATAACATATCATTACAACCCAAATGTCTCATACATCATCACAAACCAAATGTCTCATACATCATCACAAACCAAAACATCTGAAAAATGTCCAAACTAAAGAAATTCAAAATTTTATCTATATGGTATTATTGAACTTTATTGAAATACGAAAAAATCGAAATATATTTCTAGACACAACTATGCACTTTGTACCTTGGAGTTATTCAACAATGTCAAACATTTCCTTGAATTATGCCCTTTAACCCCACATGTTTTGCATGATCTTGATTGCTTGTTACCTTGAATAGTAGCCTTCTCCAAAGCACTTTTTAAACGTTTTCCTGTACCAGAACCTTTATTCTTCACCATAGGTGGATTTTCAACATCAACAACTTCAGGATTCGTAGTAGCTCTATAAAGTTTATCAATATGAGCTTCTTTTGTAACCGGTGATTTGTCTGAACCTTGTTCACCAATATCAGTCATAAAAACTTCTAGCTTTTGCATGAACTCTTCTAACTTCTTGTCATCATTACTTAATGAAGACAAGCATTGATCAAGCATGGAAAAAGCTTTGTATGCAACCTTCTCAACATTTCCAGACGAATCACCATATCTAAACGTCCTTTTCAAAACTGTGGTGGGGATAATATCTCTTCTCCATCTCTTAAGAATGTATCTTGACGGAATCTCTTGTATGTCATAAATCTTTAGAATACAGAAGATGTGTCTACAAAAAATTCCAAACCGCTCAAAAAGCATGCATGAACATTTCACCGTTAGATCTTCTCTGTTGAATTCAACCTGTTTCAAAAGTATTAGGATAATAAGTATATTCAAAAAACGAAAAATTAGAATATTTTTCAAAACTATTAGAATATTAAGTATATTCTAATAAGAAAAATTACAATAATATAAAAAAAAAACTTAAGAAAATAATTTAGTAATAAAAATTAAAATATTAGAATTATAAAAATGTCAACATTACCTCAAAATCACCTTCACTTGTGTTAAAATTCCATTCAGAATCGATGTCAACTTTTTCTTTTTTCTCAACTACTACCTTCTTCTTTGATAGATTTGTCCTTTTATGTTTGACAATGCATATGTCCGAAACAACACCTGAAGTAACACTCTTCTGTGAACAAGAAACAAGTGAATGAAGAATCTCCCTCTGCACCATGAGAAAAATAGTCCTGGTGTATACCATAGATGCATGTTTCTCCATATCTTCAAGAGGTGTTTTGATAATTGGAATTATAGTAGATGTATCAAAATCAAATTTGATCTGATTATTCATTTGCCTTTCCATAACAGACTCAAAAGCATTCATGAAATTGTTTAACGTATAACCATGATGCGATACCCTATTGAATGCTGAATTCTCACTTTCCGACCGAGAAGTTGTTCTCATTAGACCTGACATCGGTACATCTTTAAAATAGGCTGGAATCCAACTGCTTCTCAAATCAAACATATCTTTCATCCATTTATTGTCTTGTAACTTATATTTTACCATTAATGCATCCCATCTCATTTCAAAATCATTCACAACAATTTTGGAGTCCCATACTATACTATTGAAGTCCGCCTTAAAATCCGATTCATTCATTGTTTCCCAGCTTACCTTCAAAAACAATTCATATATTATTCTGTTAGAATATAATATAGTATAAAAAGGCATTTCATTTAATATATTATCCTAATTACAAAAAATATTTCATTTAATATTCTGATAAGAATATAATACAGTATAAAAAGGCATTTCATTTAATATATTATTCTAATTACAAAAAATATGCCATTTAATATTCTGATAAGAAAAGAACAATAATGTCATATTTATATTGAAAATAATGTCATATTTATACTGATAAGAATATAACAATAATGTTAGTACCTTCAATGGAAGTTTACTTGTGATATGCCACATACAAAATCTATGTTATGTGTATGACAATACTATCTCAATAGCTTTTTTCATTGCTGGATCTTGATCGGTCACGACCATGATTGGTGCTTTTCCAAAACACTTCAAGAATGACCGAAGTAACCAAATATAGGAATTTGTATCTTCTCTACACAACAAACCAGCTCCAAAAGTGACGCACCTTTTGTGATTATCAATGCCAGTAAAAGGTACAAATACCATACAATACCTAAAAAAACACAAAAAAATACCATTAGAATATATAACTAAAAATGTTTATAATTCCAGAATAAATACCTGTTTGTACGATATGTTGCGTCAAACGAAACAACGTCCCCAAATAACTCAAAATTTTGTTTTGAAGTGTCATCAGCCCAAAAGAGAGCATTTAACTGCTTCTTGTCACATCTGTATTCGAATGTAAAATTTGTAACATTCTCTTTACGATTCTGAAGCTTTGTAATCAACAAATTTGCATCAGTGCCCCCGATGTGACAATTTATATCCCTTGTAAAAATTTTCCAATCTATCTCTAGTCCACCAACAAATTCACATCCTCCTTTTATAACGCACATTAGCCTATATGCTGTAGTTGCCCCCACCTTTGCACTCGAAAGCTTATGTATAAAAGCTTGATCAACAACATCCAACTGACGTTTAGCTCTTGAAAGATGCATACAATCTTGATTGATCAATTTGTGGTTGTGCTGTTGTTCAAAGCGCCACAAGTAAACTTCTGAAGAATGTGGTATAACTTTGAATGCAACAAAAGCTTTGCAATTTGTGCGTTTACAATTACTATTTCTCAATTGCTTGTTATGATCATCACTAATCGTGTCTAAGGTAGAAGTGTTTGGCAATCCCCCTCTATTGCATATAAAATATTTCGAAGTTGTGATTCCACTATTTTTCCTCTCTGTTGATTTTCTAATATCAAAACCAGATCTTAATGCATATCCTTTATACCACTTAATAACATCTTTAATATCTTTAAAAATTGAACCCATAGGAGGTAGCCAACTAGCTTCAACCTCTGGTATCCAAAAGAAAGAACCATCAGCTCCAATGAATTGTTTGCAAGAGCCATATTGTGCTGCAACATTGTCACTTTGCACTACAAAAAAGAATATACCACCATGTTAACATATAATCAGAATAATTTGCATTCATATGACTGTAATCATAAAAAACCACAATGTTATATGTGCATTATTCTATATGCATAATATGCAGTAACATGAACTTATCACCAACATCATTCTATAAAGAATAACCGATATCAGTAACAAAAATTACCTTGGATTTCCGATTGATTTCCATCATTATGCAGAATCTCTGAATCACCAGAACTGAATTGATGATTTTCTTCATCGTAATGATCATTTCCGATGTCATTCATATCTAAATTATCCATAACTGTGACTAGGTTAAAAATTGAATATGTTATATGCAACTAACAATGAAAGCAATGATTACCTTGGGTTTCCGATTGATTTTCCTCGTTATGAAGAATCTCTGAATCATTAGAACCGAACTGATGATTTTCTTCATCGAGATGATTGTTTTCGATGTCATGCATATCCAAATCATCCATAACTGTTATCATTATTGATATATAAATGTATGTACAATATTCTATAAGAATAACATGCATTCTCATGAACTTATCACTAAGATGATAATGAAAAGCAAATAGATGATGTTAATCAAACGAAAACAGATGACATATTGCTGAAAAACATAATGATTGAATGAAAGTTAAAAATCAAACAATGAAATAGATGATGCATTGTCAAATAACATATTATAGATTAAATTGTTTTCTAGGTCAAACAAATTCAACAACAAATGATGTTTGATTGCTGAATTGGATGTCTCAACAACAGATGATGTTTGATTGTTGAAATCACAAATCATACAAATATAAAATTGGAGAAATCGATAATAGCTTGATGATTCAATTCATGAACTAGGTTAAAAATTGAATACGTTATATGCAAGTAACAGTGAAATTAATGAAAACTCAAACCTTGATCAATTGACGATTTCATGATGTTGAGTAAAATTCACAGATTGAAAGATCGTAAACAATCGTTGAAGATGAAGATTAGCAGAAATCGTTGAACACTTGAACCTTTACCGAAATCGATGATCACAGAGTTAAAATTGATCAAAAACACTCAGATTATCAATTGCAGATGTAGAAGAATCAAGAACATGAACTCGAAAAACACAAAAATCGCGAATTTAAAAGCTATGATTTAGCATCGTTCGATCAATGTCTAAATCAAATCGATTATCGGTTGAAAGAATATAAGATTAGAGATATAATATCGATCAAATTGAATTGAATAACAAGGAATGTTGTTTCATCGAATAAATTGGTAGAAAACCCTAACAGGTGAGATGATTTCTTGAAGACGTGAAAATTAAGCTAACCTGATCATCTTAAATTTAACCTAGTGACTAATCTACCCCTAATTAACTAATCAGTTAGATTAATTAGTGTTAATCCCTTTTTTTATGAGCCACAAGATCAAATTTGATCAAAGGCTAAAATTTGGTCCCCATGTCTCACAAAATATAGGTGGTCTCAAATGAACCTCTACCTATATATATATATATATATATATATATATATATATATATATATATATATATATAATATATATATATATATATATATATATATATACTGTCTTATAAAAGAAATCCTACTATTTCTAAAAATAGATTGAATATAATAATATTATTTTTTTAAAACGTCCAAATTATTAAGCTTTATGTACAACTTATCATCAATATAATAATATTATAATTTAAGTCGTTCAAATGATTAAGCATATAATACAACTACTCGGTGCATAAGTTTCCTTATTTCACTAAAGCTTTTGACGTAGCGTAGATCGAGTCGTATTGAATCCTCTAGAATCCAAATATCTCGTCAAAAATCGTACTGAACCCAAAATTCCCAAAATTCCCAGATATTTAGGCCCCATCAATTACGAAACCCTTTCATGGAAGATTAGAGTGTCTACGTCGACAACCAGATTCCCCACCGACCACTCGTGATGCATCCCTCTGCTTGCTTGCTTAAACTCCTTTCAGCCCTACATCAGCCTGACGTGATTGGGATTATAGAAAAAGCGTCGTTTCGCTGCTGATGAAAACATCCTACCTGTTTGCTTCCGGTCAGCCTGACCTCACGATGAGGCAGAAGACTTGGCGGTGGGTTTTTCTTCTCGGTCGCGTTGTTTCCCCCAAAGCCGAGTGCCACTCTTGGATCTCCTTTTACCGCCACCTCTCCTTGATTGTTGCTGAGTCACCATCTTGACTTGCTCTTCAAGCCGATTTCATTTGACTTCCTCTTCAGGCCGACTTCATCTTCATTCTGTATTTAAGGTCCATATTATTTTTTAGGATTTAAGCTAATGTCTAATTGGGTATCGGTCTAATTTCTCCATCGACTGTCAAGAGCCCAAAATTAGGTACCCACGTTATTTCTTCCCCAAGTGGGTTCTACATTGCTAAACGCCTTGCTTGCTTCCAGGGTTTGTCGTTTGTTATCCCAACTGGTAAGTTTCTTTTCATCATTTTTAGTTTCTTTCTACCCTTCAATTTGTTTTTGGGCTTCACTCCAAATTGAATTGTTTAGGGCTCGTCGTACCACTTGGTATGGTTATGAAGTGCAAATGATTTTGTGTTACAAAATGTCAGGTGCATCTCAGAATTTTAGTGGCAAGGTGAAGGTATACTCCCTCTATCAAACTACATTTTTTGGATTCGTTATTGAAGATGCTCTGGTGGGGGTTGGGGTTAGGACCGTAGATGAACAGGGTAACCACACACACAATATATTTTTGCCAATTTAGACCAAATTTAGCTGATTGTCTGGTAAATCAAAGAAGTGCTTTTCTTTCCCGCTTGGTAGCTGGATCAGGAACTCAACACACCAAATGGTCCATAAAAATCCTCAACATATATCATGGAGTATCCATAGAGAATATCAGGTAAAAGTCATTGAGAACCATTATATCCCTTTATTTCCAAGTTTACCTATTATCACATATAAACTATAAAGATTGAAGTTAGAAATTACACCTTTTGTGTTTACTTTCATTAAAAGTATATCCCATCATATTCATTTTTGAAGGCTTGAGTTCATTTAGTTGTTATTTCTCTTTATACGACATTCAACTACCCTTAATTTGGGATGTGCCCCTGTAATCCCATTAACAAGCCAAAGAAAAAGTAATACCAGAAGTTGTCCAAGTTCAAGAACCCAAGAAGAAAATGTGAACAGGTGGTAAGTACGTCTCTCAAAATGATCGATCTTGATTTCCCTTTTCAATTAAAGTTTCTTCTTTCATGATGAATACGGTTCTCTTTGTCTGTTTTGGCATCTTCAATTTAAAATATTTGTGCAAAATTTCTGTGTTTCCTAGGGCAATTTTGGTAAACTATGAAAAAAGTTTTAAATTTTGTGAAGAACCCATCTTCTCTTTATTTTTTGATGTTCTTGTTGAGTTTGTTGGGTAAATAAGTTCATAATCCACACCTTTTTGGTACGATGTATTGATAACACATAGACACTTGTGATTTATGTTTTTATTGAATCTTTTAAGGGGAAATCCAAAAACCCACATGATTTTTGTACAGGTAGTGCCCCAGTGTGTGTGAGTGTTCTTTTAAGGGTATATGTTGTATGATTTGCAAACATTTTCAAATTTAAGGAAAAAAATCCCAAAATCCACATTATTTTTTACAAGCATATGCATACATATATGTTTTTGTAGGAATGTTTTCTTTCTGTGTCAAAAGGGTATTTCTGGTCAAATTATTTAACAAAAGTTCCATTATGGCAAACTTTTTTTTTAACTGTTCGTTTGAAGCTTCCAGGAAACAAAAATCCAAAATTCACTTTGTTGGAGAAAAGAATGTGAGCTAAAAAGTTTATTTGTTTAAAGAATAATCGTCCTTATTTTGAGAAACATTTTCCTGTTAAAAAGTTGGAATTAGTCATGAGTAATTTTTACTTCTCTTTAGCTTTTTTTGTTTTTTGTAATTGCTAATTTGCTAGATATATATCCTCTGTGCTTCATAATCAAAGTGGATTACAATTCCTCTTTCCCGCTTCTTCTCCTTCTTACCCCGTAATCTGCTCAAGATTTGATTTCGATTATTTTAACAAATCTTTATCTTATGGGTTGATTCAATATTGGCAAACAAGAACAGAGGAGGAGGACAGCAGAGAGGCAACAATCGGATTCATTGTGTGTAATTGTTCCTATCGATTAAGAGATGAGAGCAACTGGAAAATTCGAGAGTGTTGAGGGTTTATGATGTCATTAAGGATTTGGTAAGTTGTATATATTAGTTATTTTCCATTGATTAAAACACTATACCTTTGGCTTGGCATAGAAGAAGACGGAAACAGTAGAAGTCAAGAGATAAGAAGGTGGTTTATGGTTATTTTTATTGTCGATACAGATTTTATAACAACTAATTCGAATTTGTTATATGTGGAGATAGGATGGGATTACAGCTCAAATATTTCTTCCATAAATTCAACTAATGTAGGTTCCTTCACAGATCTGGTTATATTAAGCTAATGTCATCAATTAGTATTTGCTTTCTTTTTGTAATAATAAAGTGTATTTGGTGTTGTAGGAACACTAGAGTGCAAAATCAGGGTGCATGTTTCCATTTAGTTGACTACACTAGAAACCAAATCTTCACAAGGGTCTAATGAGGTTGACCAATGTGGTCAAATTTGTCCAGTATTGGAAGCTTTACCTGGAGTGGATGTATCATTTGGTTCTGATTACTCTGAGGGTATCAGTTCTCAAATTCATGGTAATTACCAAGTTTTTCACCTTTGTGTCTTTTTAAATCCCTCGTTTTGAATACCCAAATTTCTTTTCCTTATTAAATTAACATGAGTTATGCTTTTGGTCCTTCACTACAAGTAATTTTGTCAATTTTGGTCGTAAAAATAAAGTCATGTTACTTGGGACAAAGACCAAAAGCGCTACAAAAAGCTCAAATGAGGGCTAAAATTGTGTAGACCCTTTTTTTTTTGGTTGTACTTGATAATTGATACCACTAGATACATATGTTCAGGTGGAAAAGTACAAGATATCAATAAAATGAGATCCATATTTAGAAAACCTTCATCTCAAAAGATGTAATCTTGCCATTCAAATGTGTTCTTCTGAAAATTGTAACATATTTGAAAAAATGTCAAAAAAATGATAGTACCAATATTTTAAATGCAAATGCTACTATATTATCATTGATCTGGAATGAACTTTTTGGGTTTTTTGAGTACTAACAGGTTTCATTTTTTTTTTTTTTTACAGATGCTGCTAAACTTAAGGGCCCCTTATCCTAGGCACTTAGACTAGACAGCTACATATGGTTGTTTTTCTTTCACCGACCTCACGCTTGAGTTAATTGCTGGTAAGCTGCCTGCCTACTTCAACCTTACCTCATCGTGACGCTTTGCTGAGTCACGCTCTATTAACAGCTCTGGTCGCCACCTCCTGCTGTGTTTTTAAAGGTAATCTTTTTATATTGATTTCATTATATACAGACTTTCTCCTTCTTCTCTTTCTCTTCGATTTTTTTGCTACCTCTCTCGAGACTACTTTGGGCGAGTGATTTCGTCCTCAAATCGAAGCTATATGATTAGGGATTTTCTGTTTTGTTGTTTTCGTTTGCTGGATTATGGGTCAATCTTTACACAAAGTTCGATCTGTTGTGTGTGTTTTAAGTTTTAACACCTCTCTCTCTCTCTCTCTCTCTCTCTCTCTCTCTGCGAAGTTACTTATTAATTTCTTTGTTATTTTGTTGATGGTTTAGATTGCTATTATAGCCGAAGAAGGCATTCTCCACTACCCGATGTGACTACCCCGAAATTTGAAGTTATATCCATCGACACCAGGTACGTTTTCTATAATAGTTTGAGATTTTGGGTTTCATTTTAAACTGATTATTGATTAAACCCAAAACACTGCAGGTGGGTTCAACTGAATTTGTGATTGAAGGTTAGATATGGGTTATGTTTTGCTTTGGGATTAGATTGGGTTTATTACTCCATTTTGGTTTGAAGATCAGATATGTGTTTGGATTTGGAAAAGAGTATGACTATAGAAAAAGGGGGCTAATGGTGAAGATATAGCCAAAAATCGACTCAGCATCTGTCTCTTTCCTTTCTCTATCTCTCTCAATGGAATCTTAAACCATGAAATTAGATAAACTTTTTATGTATTTCGTATGCTATTTTCTTTTCTGAATACCTAATTTAATCAGAAAAATATTATTTATGGCAGATTTGTTTGATTGGGTTCTGAAGCAACATTGAAATCAGGCATGGATACTTCTATGGTTATTTCTCTTTTGGTTTCTGAAATTTCCTTGTTTATAGAAAGTTAATGTCATGGATGAAGAACACCAATATATTTTTATTTGTATCCCAAAACGACCCCACACTATTATTTGCAACAAATACGAGCCACATAATATTTTAAACAAAAAACAACCAACCAAAAAGAAACTTAGCATCGTCAAAAAACTATTCGTTATAAATAAATCGTTGGTGTATTGTTTAATTGCATGGGCACTGAATGCTTTCCTGGTGAATCATTTTTGTTTTAAGAACCAATTTGAGGTTTTGGGTTTATGTTGTTTTTTAATGATCGACTATTGTTGGTATAAGAGAGAATTTGAGATGCCAAGCATTGTGGCTTATTAAATTGCTTGATGTAGGTTGAGATATACGCTCTAAATGGATTGCTAAATGAAGAACAAAATATCAATTTTATGAACCTTTTGTTGCTCAATTTGTTTTACTATTTTCCTAATGTATGTATTTTTTAAGGAAAGAACAAAATATCAATTTTATGAACCTTTTGTTGCTCAATTTGTTTTACTATTTTCCTAATGTATGTATTTTTTAAGGAAATAACAGTATACCCTAATGGAAATCTTCAATAGCATTTATGGTTTAAACATTTTCCTTAAGTTGACTGATGGTTAAGGCCATATTGGTTTTTTTTAAGGGTTGATTACTAATCTAGCCAAATTAAAAAAGTAATTAACCATTTCTAGCCAAAAATTAGAAATTGTCCCAAAATAGCCCATGAAACCGTAGGTCTTTAGAATCCTCTACTGTTTCGCTAATTCGTCTATTGTTTCGTGTTTAGTATAAAAAAATCATTTTGAAGATATAAAACCGTAGGATTTTTTAAAACCTACAGCTTTCTCTTTATAAAATATGATTTCCCAAACCGTATCTTACGGTTTTGGGTTAAATCTACGGGTTTTTTTTTAAGAAAACTACGGTTTTGGGTAGAAGTCTACGGTTTTGGGTTTAAAAAACCACGGTTTTGTGCATTATGGACTTGTACACCGTAGGTTTCGTAAGAAAGCTACGGTTTTAATTTTTTTTTCGGTTTTTTTCAAAAAAAAAAAGTTATCCCCATATACAAAACTACTCATAATCAACAATATGGTAAATTTTGAAAAAAACCGTAGGTTTTTAGACAAAACAGTAGATCATTTTTAATCTACTCTTTGGGAAACAGTAGACTTCTCAAAGAAAAAATGTCAAAGTCGTTAAAGATTTGTGGTAAAAACGCACAAAAATGTAATAATTTTCACTTCAAGGATGAAAAGTGTCAAATTCACCAAAAATTTGTGGCAAAAACCTAATGGAAAAAACGGCAAAATGTACTAACCCACTGTTCTAAAAGAGATCCTGGGTTCTATCCCAGTTATATACTAACCCACCGTTCTAAAAAATAAATAAAAAAAAGCTAGGGGGGTTGAATGTCAGGTCCTAATTCATAATAAATATTGATGATAAATAGCTAATATATTAGTTGAAATATAAGTATTTGTCGCCCATCGAAAAATAAAATGGTTGTGCCGAAAAACAAGAACCAAAATCGAAAGATAACTATCCCCTCATCTCTCTTCTCACCTGTCTAATACTTAGGTTCCCTAATGTTTGGTTTTTAATTTATGCTTTTGGAGTGAACTTGATGGTTTGATTTCTGAATGAAATTAAATAATCGATGACATGTTTCTTAAAAAGAAAATATCCGTTGAAAGGAAACTATTAACCTGAAATGATATGCCAAAAAAAAAAAAAAAATCGTCGTCTGAAAATATTACGCAAAAAAAATTGTTGTCGAATGAAACTAATTGCCAAAAGAAATTATTTGTTACCGCCGCATTGCGCGGGTATACAGCTAGTATATATATATATTGGTCCCTTGATTTACATATCCGGTCCCTGTACTTCTTTAATTAATTTATTCATGTCCTTTTGTTTGTGTTCCATTCAACTTCCCATTTTTTTGGCAGAATTGGTCCCTGTATTATTGTTGGAAGTTAGGAATACTAAATTTGGATGTTTTTTGGCAACTTTGCTCATTATTTTTTACCCATTTTGACACTTTTGGTCATTGCAATCAATATTTTTACACTTTTTTGGAACCTTTTAATATTTAAAGTTTGGCCACAAAACTTTAACGGTTTGACAACTTTGATCCATTTTCTAAAAAGTTGCTAATTCCTACCCATTTAATTCTTTAGCCATTTTCATGGTCCTTGCAGTCAAAACTTTTATATTTTTTGTCCGGGGCAAAGCCCGGACTTTTCATCCTTGCACTTTCTATGTCTGTCATATTTATCAATTCGGAAACAACATTGAGAGCTTCCGGCCCCGCGCAGTGGGATAATCTTTCTCGTAAATATAATAAAGAAGTTAAAAGTTAGGAACAGTGACTGTTCCTAGGGTTTTTTAAGTCTACCTGGGTTAGTCTACAGCCTCAACTACTGGATAGCCTTCTGCTGCCACCGCTCACCGTCACCTCATTGTATCTTTATCGCCTCTCAAATCCATGAAAGCATCCTCATTGATACTTCCTCAAGATCCCGTTTTTCATCTCTTGCTCCAAAATGTGTCGATTGTTCTCGTCTCTCATACTAACATTAATCCTCTTCTGCTCTACCACCGCTTCTTCCGCTCAGACGAACCCATACGTCTTCTCCTCCTATTCTTCTTCATCTGATGAACCCACAAAAATCCAATATTGTCACAACCTCTTAAAAGCTCACTGATGCTCCCTCTTCTTCTTCCACCCCGTCGCCTTGCTCTCTCGCCAAAGATCGTCTGATCGGGTAGCAACGAAAGATGCTACTGAAGAGCTGGCGACATCGGCGACAAACCTTCTCCCTTTGTACATGGATTGAAGCTTCCATCTTTGATTGGAGAACATTCGGCGCCTTCGTTTCAGTTTCAGGTTAGAAAATCGATTCCCCCCCCCCCCCCCCCCGTTTTCCTATTCCAGGTTTTGTGAGGAAAAGCCCTAGCTTGGTCATTAATCTCCCGGTTCGTCATCTACCTTTTTTTCAGCCATATTCACTTTATCAAGATTATGCATTTTGTAGGTTGAGGAACCACAAGCTGACCTAAGAGCACTTGCTTCATCTGAGAAGTATGTAAATCAACTCGTTCATAACTTTGTTAATATTGACAGGTACATTTGATTGCACATGAAGTCGGTTTTAATAAAATTTGTATGTTTTGTTTTAAGATTGTTCATCAATGTTCATGTAAATTCAACAGAAAGAAAGAAAAGTAGGTTTGATTTCTGCACATGCTCGACTTCTGTTATTCCTAATTCATAATGTTATTTCGGTTTAAACTAAAGAAAAGTTATAACAAATCTACAACTTTCCTTGAATTTGTTGATTTTTTTATGATTATTCGGTTTATAGGTTACTTTTCGGTAATATACATGTCTTGCTATATTTTTAGGTTTATCCTCGAATTGACTAATTTGTGGTTTGTCAGTTCTTTGGATTTCTGTTTTGTGATAACGGACACGCACATGTCACAAACATGGTCCGGCATAGAGGATTCAGACCAACTACATGGATTCAAACTCAAGGTTTTACACTCTTTCTTCTTTTTTTCATTTAATGTCTTAATATTGGAACTGAAGAACGAAGATATGTGTTATTATAATGATGTTCTTAGTACAATAGAAAGGGAATTATGTGTTTTGCTGTTTTACTGATGCTTAGTTTCAGTTTATTAATGTAGGATGAAGATACGATGAAGAAAGAAGATGACAATTGGTATTGTACATATTATTGGTGCCCAAAATTATAACGTGTTGGTAGATCATTAGCTATTGACTGTTTGAGGGTAATGTGGGTAGTTTTATTACTACTTCTTGTAGTGACCTTTTTGCATTGCTACTATTGATGTTACTTTTAAGATCTCTTATTCATTAATATATTCTGTTACAGGATGGATTTCAAGCATATATATGAAAAGAAGGCTATCATGGAGTACATAAGGTCAAAGCATGGTCAATCTTAATGTCCAATTGGCAGGTACATAAACATTTAAGATCTATTATTCCTTAATATATCAAAGTACATTGCTATTTCCTTCCATTTCTGATCATGTTTTCTTTTTTTTTTCTCGTTTTTTCTTTTTTAGCATGCCCTAAATTAATTATTGCAGAAAGAGCATAGAGGCTTTCACATGGAAATCTGAAGAAAAAGAAACAAATATATTATTGAATCCTCTAAGGTTTATTGATTTAGTTTTTTAAATTAAATATAATTACATTTTTATATAAAATAAAATGTAAAATATGATTTTTAAATTGTTAATCTTTTTCAGGTTGTATTGTCTTTCAGTGGTATTAACTATGAGATGTTTGTAGAGTAGCCACCTTTGTTTCATATATGGTAACAAAAGTAATTTTCCTAATCACCTATTATATGCTTGGAAATTTGAGTTTACTATACTCACAATTCGGTACGTTTCACTTGCAGTTGCAAAGCAATGACAATGGATATTGATGTGTCGACCTCTATTAATGTAACTGTCAGGGAACGTATATACACAACTAAATATCCTTACGATATCATAGGTTCTATGTAAGTTTTTTGTGTGGTTTTCTATTTTTGAATGTTAATCACATCGTCATGTAACTGCACTTCATTCAGAGCTTTTCAAATATAATATCTTGATTTTTTGATGTGGGTTTATTGCTTCATCAGACTAATATCTTTTGTGCAAAATGCAACATACCCATTCCATTATTCAATCTGTCTACCCTTATTAAGATTATTTTATATTTTCTGACATAGCAACAAAATAGATTGTTATTCATTGTTCTATATATATATATATATATAATATAATAGATATATATATATATATATATATATATATATATATATAATATATAAAATGGATGGATGCTATGATATCAAATAACTGTTATATTCATGTTGGGCAGATTTAACAAACTATCGAAAATAAAAATTACGTACATAATCATGTTTCATATTGTTAACATACAACAATAATACAAATTAACTTTTCATTAACTTTTCATTGAAGGCTTCCAACCCCGCAAAGCAGGGGACACTTCTCCAGTTTTGATATTAAAATTAAGTAAGAAAGAGTGTCAAAGAAGTTAAAAAGTTTTATATTAATACTTAGATATAGAAAACTGAATAACATGAATGGTTATTGCCATGATTAATTATATATGTTAATAAATAAACAATGATAAAATATAAGAATAATAATAAAAAGAATCAAAAGATAAATAAAAAGTTTGGAAATTCCATATCATCATGAATAAACAAGCAATAATAAAGTTTCATCATGTAGTTCAAATTTTTTATGTGAAAATGAAAAATCATTTAGTTAAAACCTATTCAACTTTCCATACTCATAATTTATACCATATTAATTTGATTACTTAATAATTATAAGATATAAATTAAAAACATTTGAGTGATAGTTATTAATTGGTTGAAAGTTAAAAGATTGTGGATGTTTAAAATGAATAATATGCAAAAATGATGCTCTATCTACAACCTCAATCATTTGTATAATATCCCAAAAATTATAAAGAGGTTTTTTTATTTAAAATAGATTAACCAAATAAAAATCTTATACTTAAAATCATTAAGTTGCATTCATTTATTTGAAAACCCTAATGTTAACAGAGTTAACTTACAAAAACAGCGGAAACCAATAGTTTCGATGCGTGTGTACAGTCTCCCTGAGCTCTTCTCACGAACAACCTGTAAAACATTTAATCCACAACTGTAAGCATAAAGCTTAGTGAGTTCCCCAGTATACCACATATTCTATTATATATACAATACATCCACATTAAGTCCTCGACTCTAGTGCTGACTTGCCAACTCTTCTATCAACATATATAACATATATAACAATCATTAATGCCATCTACTGGCACTCCGTTACCGGCTCTCGATCATCAACTACTACCGTCTCTCGGTCGTCATGCAATCATTGGCCTTGTACCCAAACAACATCCATACTATAGCCAATGCTAAAACTGACAATCGCCTCATGAATACACACTCATATATAGTTGGGAGCCAGATAGACAGTCAAACAGATGATCCCATCCGAAAGCAATAAGTCAAACAAGAACCATGCAATAAGTATTTGGACCAAGAGTTCTCAGGCTATCTAACTAGGACTACATATGACCCCTAGGGTATCCACTTGATGACCATCCGAAACTATCATCATCATAACGATTCATAACTATATAAATGCTATGATCCAATCATAGTCTTTCATACATGTAATGTGATCAAACCACAATCTTTCATATAGGTGTTGTGATCTAACCACGGTCTTTCATACAAATGTTGTGATCCAACAAAAAACTTTCATACATGTGTTGTGCTCCAACCACAGTCTTTCATGCAAAAGTCACAAGGACAGTCTATCATAACATAACATTAGGTATCCTACACTGCACATCCATATAAAGGAATTATCCCAGTCAACTATCATGACACCTAACAATATCATACAATCAACATGCAAGACCATACTAGTCTAGCATGCCATGACACCAAGTGTCCTATACTGCACACGTATAACAAGGAGTTATCCTAGTCAATTAGCATACATGTACTCTAACAGTCCCATTATCTTAACAAGCAAAGGATATACAATGTAATACGCGACATAGTGAAAAGACTCACTTGAATCGTGTCACACCCCGAAATCGATGGCGGAAACGTTCCGGGGCGGAGGACGTCATGTGTAGCATCACAACCAATGAATAATAGCAATCATAGCAACACAACCAGTACAGTGAATACTAAAATAAAAGTGTTTACACCAGTTGAAACTTTGTCTAAAACTTGTTTGAATTACATCCAATAGCTTTGTATAGTATAAACATAAAACTCTTATTGCTCCAGTTCCTCGAAAATCCAGCAAGTACCTGTCTACTGATTTCCTGAGAATACAAGCAGTTTAAAAGAGTATCAGCATAAAGCTGGTGAGTTCATAAGCGGTGGTTTGTACTAAAAATCGTTGATGAGTTCGGAAAATATTTGTATAGTTTCAAGAAAATCCGATATTTTCCTTAGTGAAAATGTAGTGTTATCAGTTCTGTAATAAACCATGAATATATGTATGTTTCCAAGAAAATCCGATATTTTCTTTAGTGAAAAGGTAGCGTTATCGATTTCGTATAAAACCATGAATGTTCGTTACTGAAAACTGTAGTGATATGCGAAAATACTACCTCATGTGACTAGCTAAAACTAATCATGAAGTGTAAGTATTTTGTATGTGAAACCATTGCATAATCGGTTCTGTTTGAAAAACCCTGGCTTTAGCCAGTATACGTAGTGTGTATCAGTCCTATTTAGTAAAAATAAAACTGTTGAAGAGTGCCAGGTTGTAAACTAAAGGTGAATTATACATAATGTGAGTCGTATAACCATGCTTGATATGACTAGAGACCTTTCCAACGTTCTTCAGGCGTCGAGTTAAATGACATTTGTACATCTCAGGCGTGTCCGCCTAACTGTAGCTAGCAGTCCAGATGTGGGATTGTCAGTCCCGAATAGATCTATTATGTCTTAGTGCATATGTTTAGTAGTGAAAGTTTCTATACTTCATATGTTTTAGAAAAATCCCCAAACTATACCGATTATAGTTTGCATGTAAAACGTAGCGAGTAGCGTGTCCGGAAAAACTATGCAATTTTAGTGAAAACGTCCCTTATGCTCAGCATAGTACAAAAGGGATTTAAAGTATGAGATTTGCATAAGTTTTATGAAAACATTTATGTTTAGCTTGTATTCCCCCCCCCCCCCCCCCCTGAAAACATTGAAAAAATGGAAAAATGTAGGGGTATGAACTCACAGTTGTTGCGTGAAATCGTTGACTGAAATGAAGATCCTCGAGTTGTTGCACGACACTTAACGAAATCCGGGACTTGATCGAATCGAAGAAAATGAGTTTTCAGCCAAAAGCACCACCAAAAAGATGTTTACGGCCGTGATCTATAGTTTACGGTTTCTGAAGGCTCGGTGAGTTTACGGCCGTAAACTCAAGAACAGAGTTTACGGTCTTTGAAGGTTGGACCGTAAACTCAAGAACAGGGTTTATGGTTCTTGAAGGTTGGACCGTAAACTCAAGAACAGGGTTTACGGTTCTTGAAGGTTGGACCGTAAACTCAAGAACAGGGTTTACGGTTCTTGAAGGTGGACCGTAAACTCAAGAAAAATGGTTCTGATTGCTGATTTCGAAGAGACAAGTGCTCTGAGACGTTCCAAAATGACTCCAAACGTGGTTTCTCGATGTTTTTCCGAAATTTGAAGGCGCTTTGAGTGTTTACGGTTTAAGGTTCTTAGAGAGAGAAGGAGAGAGTTTTTGGCCAGAAATGTTCTAATGAAGGTGGAGGTATCGTATTTATAGGGGTGTTGTGGGGGGTCCACTCTTCACTGACCGTAAACAGGTTTATGGCCGTAAACGAGTTTACGGCCGTAAACACGTTTACGGTCGTAATCTCATTTAGACCGAAAATGCTTGCTTTTTCGAAATAATCGGGTTTCCGCGCGATTTTTGGTTCCGACTCGTAAATAATTTAATTATATACATAACTAGATTATTTTCAAAACCAAGAAGTTTGACGGAAAAGTTAACAAATTCGAAATTTTATTAACGAAACTTGCGTAACGGAAACGGACAAAGTTTCGGGTTGTCACATCATCCCCCCGTTAGAGGGAATTTCGTCCCGAAATTTGAACGCAGAACACAAATCATGGATTAGGAAAGAGATGCAGATATTTCTGTTTCATCTGATCTTCGCGCTCCCAAGTGAATTCAGGTCCCCGCTTGGCATTCCAGCGAACCTTCACTATCGGGATGCGACTTTGTTTCGTTCGTTTGACTTCCCGATCCATGATTTCGACAGGTTCTTCCACGAAGTTGAGGTTCTCGTTGATTTCAATCTCGTCGAGAGGAATCACAAGTGTCTCATCAGACAGACACTTCTTTAGGTTCGATACGTGGAAAACAGGATGGATGTTGCTGAGCTCTCGGGGTAACTGAAGTTTGTATGTCACGGGACCGATCCTAGCAAGGATTTCGAACGGCCCAATGTACCTTGGGTTTAGCTTTCCACGTTTCCCAAAACGTATCATGCCTTTCCAGGGTGAGACCTTCAGAAGGACGTGGTCACCAACCTGGAACTCCAAAGGTTTTCGTCTCTTATCGACATAGCTCTTTTGTCTATCTCGTGCGGCTTTCATTCGTTCCCGGATTTGCACAATCTTTTCGGTTGTCTCTCGGATAATTTCAGGACCAGTGAGAGTGTTGTCGGGGGCTTGACCCCTGACTAGCTGCGTGTCACCCACCTCAGCCAAGCACAGAGGGGATCTGCACTTACGGCCATAGAGGGCTTCAAACGGCGCAGCCTTGATGCTGGTATGGTAGCTGTTGTTGTAGGAAATTCCAACCAAAGGAAGATGAGCGTCCCATGATGCGCCGAAATCGATGACGCAGGCTCTCAACATATCTTCCAAGGTCTGAATTGTTCTCTCACTCTGTCCATCAGTCTGCGGATGATAAGCCGTGCTCATATCCAACTTAGTTCCAAGAGCCTTCTGTAGAGACTGCCAGAACCTCGATGTAAACCTGCTATCTCGATCGGAGATAATGGATGCAGGTACACCATGAAGG